CTCTGCATTTGACTCTCTAATCCAGAGCGTGCCTAAGAAAGGAGCCCCAAATGGCATCAGATGTCCATGCTGGGAACCCAAGTGAGCCCATGGTTAAAGCAAATGGGAGACGGTCACTTGAGGTTCCAGGCTTGAGCAGGATCGAGGGAACTGGCAATGGCAAAAGAGGGACAGAGGTGGAGGAGGAAGGAGAAGAAGCAAAGCTGCGGCTCGGGAAGCCAGTTTTGGCCTTGGTTCTCCAAGGAAGATTTGGCTTTGCCCCTTGATTCCCATTCAAAGAGGCAGATATGGGGCACTGATAGGAAGGGTCCCGAAGGGAGGAGGACTGTTTCTGGTGATGCTCTGCTCCTCCGGGGCCAGAGGAGGGCAAGGCTTTGTGGTGGCAGGGCACCTTCCTGCGCCCTGGGGCCACTGTCCCCTCCACGTGTGCAGCTCTGCTGCCACCAGCCCGCACGGCACCGCACTGCGACGGGGGGTCCCGCAGGCTGCCCAGGGACACGGAACCTGCCAGGGACACGGAACGGCCCCGCACGGGTGACTTCCCAAAGCAGCCTCTGAAGGCACCGCTGAATGGTGCCAGGAACTGCTTTTTCCACAGCCAAAACTGAAAGGGAGCCAGAGCAAGCAGGGACAATGACCATATTGTTGAGGTGTTTGTGCTTGGTTGGTTGGAGCTTTCTGTTTGTTGGGTTTTTTTATGTTTGTTTGTTTTGTTTTAATATCTGTTAATTGGCCATCCTCCTCAGTGCCCTATGCAGTCCTGATACAGCTCTAGCCCACATCCGAGTGTTAACAGGGAGAAGAATAGACACATTGTAATCGTCCCTATTATGTTATAATAGCAGCTTTGTAGGCTAGGTGTGAAAGCAGAGCCAGCTCACCAGGACAGGAATCTCACTGTAGTACGAAGGCTTTTTATTTCCCCTGCTGCCAGGTTTTACAGTGTCCTCTGCTGCTCCCTTGGTTCCCATAAATAAGAGAAACCAGGATGCTGCCCATCCTGGGTCCTTTCCAGCACCCTGACCTTTCCGGCAAACTGCTGAAGAGCCTTCCCAGGATGAAGTGCTGGTGATACTGCTCCCCACGGAGAGGCAGCTGGAGGGAGGAAGGGTGTGAGCAACAGATGAGATCACCTGCCAACAACAGTAGGGAAATTTCATCCTCCTTTGCTGTGAACCTGGAGCAGACTTTCAGACGCGAACTGCATGATCCTGGAAAGAGTCTCTGGCCTGAGACATCCTTTACTTTTTCCTCCTTTATTAATTTCTTTTTCTTCCTCCTCTCAGTGATGTCCTGACTCTTATGGAGCAGCATTTGTGTCCCACTGCACAGCACTGAGTCTTGCTGTACAGGCATGGAAGGCTCTTCTTCCAGGAACCCTGTTGACTTGAGAGCATCCTATTGAGGCTGTCAACCCCCCGTTCAACCTGTGTCCCATGCTGTTGTTCCCTTGATGAGTACTTGGTGTTGATATTATTACCTATAGGCTGCTTGGGGTATGGCAGCATCTCGGAGCTCCTGCCTGTGGCCCCAATGTGTCAGGTGCTGTGTTGGGAGGTGAGGTTTTTACAGCAGGATTTGCCTTCTCAGCGGGGCAGTCTGCTCCCTCCTCCTGGTGACACCTGCCTGTGGTGAGGAGGAGGTGACAAGGTAAAGGTGTCTTCTCCACCTTGCAAATAGGAGGGGACAGAAGGTCCCAATGAGCTGCCTTGGCCCTGAGAAGCAGGCTGAGCCCGTCTGCTGCTATCACGCTGCCCACGTCCTCTTGCCTTTGTCCCTTTGGTGCCAGATTCAGCCTCTTTGCCCTGACCACAGAGATGTTCAGGCAGTGACACCAAAGGTTTCAACTAGTCTGGGAGAGCAACAGGCCTTGGTGACACAATATGCCCCTTTTACAAGCCTTTTACTAGGAGGGGTTGAGAAAGAGGAGACGCACTGAGCCAGTAGCCAGTGCTAGGGCTGCGGGCAGTGCTCAGGAGGGCTAATCTCCATGGGCATCGTGCCCTGGGACGTGGAGCAGGTTCCCTGGGACCTCGAAGCCCGTCGTTGTTGCAAGTAACATGCTGGTTTTGAGCCATTCCTCCTGGCTTAAGCAAGGGGAATGCTGGGTTTTTTCCTACTTATTTTAAATTTGCTTAGAAACCTATCTCTGAGAAAATATGTTAAAAAAATGAAACCAGTGTAAATACCAAAATGTACCCAAATGCTAGCTTTTAGTTCATCTCAGATATGTACAGCAGGTCCCTGCAGAAATCTAGTTGTGTCCAGCATGCGTAGTCTTGCCTTTTTTTTTCCCCCCCTTCCTTGTATTTCCTTTTTTAATTTTTACAGAAACTGGGGTGCATATCAACCACAGAGCAGCCTTCACCCAAATAAATATTTGGGTCAGATTTTCATATCCCCATTGACCACGGGGAAGAGCAGGTGCTCAAACACAGAGGAGCACCCAACACCACCCTTTTGCGTACCCACCTTGGCAGTGACAGGCTCCACGGTGCGTGCCGAGTACAACTGCTCATTTGAGAGGTTCCTTCATGGCCTACTATCTTCCTCTCTGGGGATGAAAATCCACACTCAAAAATAGCCTAATGCTTCTCCCTCCATCAGCCAGGTCTAACAGAGGACAGAGGAAATATTCGGCTGTTGAGCATCTAAGGTATAAAATGGAGCCAATTGGCCTCCCCTTGAGCACAAATAACAACAGGAGAAAGATCCATATGCAGTCGAGTCTAGGATAAATGTGCTTAGCTGATCATTCATTTCCCTAATATTTTTTTATGAATAGGCTTAACTTATGGTAAGATGGGACTTTATGGTCCTGTAAGTCTTGCTCATGTCAAAACAAATGAACTAGCCATCCTGTGGGGGAACTATCAATCCAATATATGTGTGTATATGGGTGTGGAGAGTCAGACCTATTATACCTTTAAGAGCAAATTAGATGCTGTTCCTGTGATTCATAATGCTATATATCTAATGGCATGACTCGTCATCTAGAAAATAAACGTTTTGAGCCAGTTTCTCAACTCATAAATTTCCTCTCTGGCACTGAAGGACATAAACTAAATGGGCTGACTCACAGGGAAACAATACAATTTGGATACTTTTAAATGAAAGATAAAATTGCCTTAGGGCACAGAGGGGCGTTGAGTGGTTGGCAAGTGCGGGAAGAGTGGGAAGCCGTGCGTGTGGTGGCAGACGCCTGTCCATGGCCCCTCTGCCATCCCTGTCCCAGGCAGAGCAGGCCTGGGACGTGCTCCACGCTTCCCTGTCCTGCCTTCTCACGGCTCTGTGATGTGGCATGAGCACCGTGACAGAGCACCCGAAGCCCAGAGGCACCGAGGGAAGGAAGGAGGTACATGTGGAGCGGCCCCTGGTTGGAGGTGCCCGCTCCGAGGCTGGAAGCAGAAGGAGTAGCCGTCCTCTCGCCGTGGGCCAGGTTCAGGTCCTGCGCGTTGCACCTGCCCCTCAGGGCTGCAGCTGCCCATGGGACAGGTCTCAGGGCATTCTTGGTCTGTTGCTCTTGCTCTTCCTGTGCCATGAGGCTCCTGGTTTGGATGACAAGTGCAGCTCACCTGGGTTTGGGTGAGCAGTCCCTTACCTACTTGTTACACGGTCAGGAGGAGCAAGGGAAGCAAAGGTTTTCCTGCCATCTCAGGCAGGAGGAGCATTTGGCTGCAGCGTAGCCTCGGGGCCAGGCTAAACCAGGGAGCTTGAAGCTGTCATCTTTCCAGGGTAAGGCAAGGAGCCTGCTGATCCCTAGCAGGGGCTTGGTAGCACCCTCTGATGACAGATGGAGCAGACTCCATCCAGAGCCCAGGAGGGAAGGTGCCAGAAGGAAGCATGGCCTACAGCAAAAGTGGCTATAACATCTTCCGAGATGGGAAGACCGAAGAGTGTTGAAAGTTTATCAAGGCCCTCAATTTGTCCTGGAGTCTCTGCAGGGAAAGTGAGTGTCCCCAAAGGGCAGCAAGTGTCCCCATGGAGCCTCCTAAAGGGATGATAAACACCCTGAAGAGATGCCCTCAGGCTGGGAGAGCAGGCTCTGCTTTTCCTCAGCTCTTAGGAGAGCTCTGAGCCTCATCCCACCGCTCCGCTTCCTGCAGGACCTTCCCTGCCTCCGTTTGCCACCGGGCACGTGCTGCCCGGCACGACCCGCTTCCTAGAAGCCCTTGTTAAGAGCAAGTGCGGGTGAGTGCCGCGGCGCCCCGGCCTGCCTGACGTCAGCCGGCTGCTCCTCCAGGAACAAACGCCAGGAAAATTGAATCGAGGCGGCCGCCAGGAGCGGGGGCTCCTGCTCCTCGGAGCGGTGCCGCGCGTAGGTGCGCTCGCCCTAATGAGCGCGATGGGAGGACGCGTCGATCCGCTAACCTCGTTTCTCTGAAGGCTGACACAAGGCAGATCACGGCTCTGTACCTGCAGGATCTGATTAAAACGTGTGTAATCCTGAGCAGGCAGAGGGAAGGGGATTGCTCATCCCGCCTTGCACTTATTGCAAAAAAAAAACCAAAAAAAAAGCTAGAGGAGGAAAGAAGCGGCTTGGCTTTGGCTCAAGGTGCTGTTGGGATTTCTCCTTAAGGTTATGTGGGCCTGCAGGGAGAAGCAGAGGGAGCAGGTCAGGGACATGAGGGCTGCGCGGGGGACGGCGGAGGTTGGGCAGCCACAGCACCACTGAGGGGCACAGGGAGCTGGGGCCTGCAGGAGGGTCCGCGTGTTGGGGCCATCGCCTGAGCTGGGGCTATGGGTGTTTTCACCTCCCTCTTGCCCCAGTGCTTGCTGCCCTGGACACCCTCTGCACATGGCCCTGTACGTGCCCAGGAGACCACGGCTATGGGCTGGGCACAGTCTTGGTTTTTTATTTCTTTTTTTGATAACTTTCATTTGCCACCATCACCACCTGGGCGGACACACACACACACGTTGGCCAAGGGGACGTGGCCAGTGACACCCGTCCGCATCCGCCAGGGCAGACGAGGGGCTCAGGTACCTTCAGGCGATGTGTGGGAGCCCATCACCGTCCCCTTGCGGCTGCTGTGTGAGCTCCCCCCTTCTCGCCCGCCCCTGTGATGTACATTGTGCCCCATGGCTCACGCTGCCACGTCCTTTACGTACCTCTCCCTCTGTCCCTATCTCCTGCAGCGCCAGCGGTTCCTGCAGAAGGATATCTGCGCCCACTCATCCCTGTCTGATAAACTCTTTCTTTCTCTGCCTTCCTTGCTCTCTAATTACTTTGTGATGCCCTTTCCAGTACAGTGCTTTAATTAAATTCGAAAGAATAAAATGAGATAACGTCACATTTTCTCTCTTTCACATGATTTTCCTTCCTTCCTTTTTTTTCCCTCCCCCTCTGGAACAGTCACATTTCGCAAATGTCTGGAAGCAGAAATAATTCAGGCACAAGAGACTGGAGGCACCTTGAGAAAGGTGGTCGTGTGCTCCGGGAAAGCAGCAGAACCCCGAACAATAGGAACCATGATGTCAGGCTCTATTTATACCTTTCCTTTTTATAAAAGCCCCAGGATGGCGCTTTTCCTATAGTTTTGTGCTAAATACCAAATCCACTGAAGCTGCCCCGATCCTCCCCAAAGGGCATGTTTTATCTCTAAGGCGTAACCCCACGGAGGGCTGCCTGTATCACAGGATCCAGGCATCCGCAGGCCGGCGCTCCCAGAGATTTGAATGGGCGGAATAACGTTGCTCTGCGGCCGCGGGGTTGGTTGAACGGAGATTGGCAGCGTGGCTGTTGTGTATGAAAGAGGATCTTTTGGGTGTCTCGGCTCCAAAATGTGTATTTGGAAAGGTCAAAAGCATTACAAAGAGGTTTGTTTTAATGGCCGAGGTTGGCTGTTTTGATTGTTCTACCAGGACTTCGCGGCGTCACATAAAGCCCGTTCTATATTTGGTGTGTTTATGTGCGGCGAGATGCTGTCTTCTGAGTGTGTAGCTTAATTACACAAGACAGGCAAAGGGTAGCAGAAGAAACAGCCATAAAAACATCAAATCTGAACAGCATAAGAGTATGGAGTGAGAAAAACCCTCTCCTGTAGCGTGGGAAGCAGCATAGGGACTGGCCATCCTGGACTCACTCACCAAGATGTAGGATGAGCAGAGGGAAGACACCACAGGATTAGTCCTGAAGGACTTTGGGAATTTAGTTGAAGTGTTTCAGTCTTGGATCCCGGCACACGGACATCTGCTCTTACTCCTATGGATCAGTTTACATTACTAAGAGCAATCAAGAGGGTCCTGGTGAACTTGAGGACAGCCTGTAGAGGGAAGTGTTCCCAGCTGGGCACAGTCTAAAGTATTTTGGAGATTTCTTTTCAGATTTTGCAGTTCTTCTTGTAAGCAGTCCTTACACAAGTGAGTACAGCTCAAATTTGCTTGCAGGAGAGCAACTCAAATGAATAGCAAACAGATGGGGGGATGACAGTGGCCTGTATTGTTGTGGATACAGGAATCACTTCATTCTTCATGGGGACAGAAGCAGCTATGGGAGGGGCACACAGAAAAGTTCCCAGCAGTGCAGAGATACCTTAGGTAAAATGTCCTGCCTTGCAAAGGGGCTTCCGTCTGCACTTCCCGAGGCACCTCCTTGCTCTTGCACCACAGGAGATCCCCAGTGCATGAAGCTCTGTGCAGGTGCCCTCCCCATCCCGCACCCAAAGTGGTGCATGCGGGTCAAGCAGCAGCACACGTGGGTCAAGCAGCAGCACCACACGTGGGTCAACCAGCAGCAGCACATGCGGGTCAACCAGCAGCAGCACACGTGGGTCAACCAGCAGCCCCGCTCCGTCCTTGCGGATTGATGGGGGACCTGTGGGCTGGCGGCCAAAAAAAACAACCCTAACAGAGCTGGGGAGGCCCCGTCCGCAGGTTCCCCAGGTCCCCGGCTCTCCCCCCTCGCCCTTGCCGCTCCACAGCACGAGGCCCAGCCGCTGGCTGGGTTTCGCTGCCTCTTTAGCAGACATGCTCACACTTTTTGTTCTCGCATCAGGCTTTCAAGGGAGCCCTGATGAGCTCATACTGGTGCTCGGGGAAAGGTGATGTTATCGAAGACTGGTGCAGGTGTGACCTCAACGCCTTCGATGAGAACGGACTCCCGAACTGCAGCCCTCTCCCTCAGCCTGTGTACGTATCTGTGCGATCCCCTCCCACGGGTCACTGTCCCCCTGCACCAGCCCCTTCTTCCAGGCTCTCCAGGCTACAGCTCAGCCCATGGGCACCTCTGTCCCCTGGCATTTGAGCCCACAGCTACAGGGCAGCACCTCTTGCTGTGTGACAGATGGCTTTAGGATATCCTGGCTCTTGCTGTGGCCCTGGAAGGTTTCCTTGTAGATTTTCATCACCTGATTAGCAGGACTTGTAGAAGGGGATTTCAAATGCTGAAAGAAATGGAATTACAGTGCAATTCATTGTGGCTTGTCAGAGCAAGAGCAAATCAGGAGCAAACTGATGGGGAATTAGCTGAGAAAGCAGGAAGACTGGCTCCAGCTATCCACAAGGAACAAAACACCTTCTTAGCGAGCCAATATCCTCAGAGAGGATTGATTTCCCATCCTGAGTTCAACGAATACTCTAATATTTTTGGAAATGGACTCTCTGTAGCCCTGTTGTCTTTTACCTCAGCATAAAGAACAACATACACCTTTACACTGAGCGTGGAGAGCTTCCCTATGCTCCCCTCTACCTCTCTGCCTCCTGCTACATACCCAAGTTTGTGCACAGCTGCCCAGCTTTGTTTTTGCTAGCTCGTTTGCAGCTGGGTGAATTACAGCCACACTCACCCTTCGCTCCCTCCCTTGCTCCCTTGCCTTTGCTCACTCACAATGCGGCATAGACCCTCCCTTCCAGTGGACTCAACCCAGCTGTGTTGCATGAAAGTAAAGCTAGATCCTCCCCTATTCTTTTTCTCCTGGGCATCTAGTCTTCAGTTCCCCATGGAGTGGCTGAGCTTAGGGAGTTCTCCAGGGAAATGAAGGCTTCTTTAGACAGGCTGCACAAGGCTGGGGTTGCCAGACCAAGACCTATCTGGGAGCCCCAGGAGGTGAGGACCCAGCAGAGGAGGTTGCACCCATCTGACTTTCCCTTGGAAGTTTATTTCTTTTGTGTCCATCTTCCCATTGTACTCTGTGTCCTCGTGGGTCTGTGTACATGCCTGTGTATGAGTGTGAGCTCCTCCTGAGGTTACACTGCTTGTGCAGGCAGGAGAAAGGGAGCTGATGTGGCCTTTGGCTTCTGTTCTGTGTCCTCTGCAGTCTGCGGCTCTCCCCTACCGTGGAGCCCTCCAGCACGGTGGTCTCTTTGGAGTGGCTGGATGTCCAACCCGCAATCGGAACCAAGGTGTCTGACTACGTCCTGCAGCACAAGAAGGTGGATGAGTACACGGACACGGACCTCTACACAGGTGAGCGAGGCTGCAAAGCACAATCTCCTCTTGCTCCAGAGGGCAGGCAGCGTTGCAGGGTGTTTGCTGAGCTGGTGTGGTGCTTCTGTCCTTGGGGAAGGTGCTGCTCTTGTGCAGAAAGGTGCCTAAAGCAGAAGTGGGGTGTGTGGTGTACAAAGCGCTCGGGAGAGGTTTCTGAAGATGTGGCTATTTGAGGGGAAAAGGGGCAATGAAGGGAAAAAAATGCAGCATAGCAGAAGAGTATTTGCCCTTTTTTTTGATGGGGGACCTGTGGGCTGGAGTTTCTAACTAAAATGACTGTGTGATCACACAAACTGAAGTGTTACAGCGTGGCAGGTATGGGGGCTGTCACAACCACCCCGAGGGCTTTGCCAGTCCATTCCAGGGAGCATAGCCTTGCATGTCGGCATTTTGAAGGACCCTTTAAGGTACCCTGCACAGCTATCAAAGCAGCCTGGAGCCTGCAATATTTGGAGAGTTTGTTGGAGTGGGGTGTGTGTGTTTTCCAATGGAACCTGAAACTTTCCTGGGTCAGAGTCCAGCTACCGGCTCAGGGCTTGGACTTAGCGCTTTGTGGTTTGTGAAGCCTTTGTCAGCAATTCAAGCCATGTTTCAGGAGCTGCTGGACAAGGTGGAAGGATATGAAGGATGGAGCTGGATCTGGGTAAATCAGTGATGTATATTAGAAACTGTTGTTAGGGGCCTTGAGTGGCTTCAACTGCTGCTAGTTAGAAAAACAGGCAAAATTGCCTTCCTGTATTTTGCTGGAAGACTTTGAATTTAGTTCATTGAAGAAACTCATGTGACATGTCAGAGGCAGCCAGCGTTGACTGAAGCACAGATCTGCCTTTGCACAAAGGGTCAGCTTCTCTGTGCTGGCACTGCCAAATTTCAGCTTCCCCTCAGTAGGGGAAGTTGGAAGAGGGCTCCCATTCAGGGCTGAAATTAGCCTCTGATAGAGCTGCCTGTTTTGGGGCTAAAAGCCCTGTTTGTTTTAGGGAGCAGCCTCCTCAGTTTAAGGAGAGGTTTGTGTGATTTCTGGGACCTCCTTGGCCAAGCCCTCTCTTGCTGAGAACTACCACAGAACAACCTTACGGCCATGGGGAAGTTTTGACCCTGTCTGTTCATCTCAAACCTGTCTGTTCTATACATTTATATGGCCCGTTTTGCCAACATACCCAAGTTTTTTGTGCTGCAAGAATGGGACTTTCTCTGTCTGAGAGAGCTGGAGCTCCACATCAGCAGAGCCCATGAGAAGGGGCTGTGTCTCCTTGTTTGTGCATCTGTCCTGTCCCAGAGTAACTTTTCCCTGCACCCTGTTGCCAAGGGTTGCTGTCCAGAACTGCCCGGTGTAGCCGTGGCCCCTTGGATATGTTTCTGTTTCCTGGCATGGAAGGAAGGCTCCCTCTTTATTCTGGAGGGGCACCTTCCAATAACGGGAAAAAGAACACAAGCCACCAAAGGAAGCTCGCTGTTTTGGAAGGTGATTCCAGATTGCTTGCACATTGGTCAGGTGAGGCCAGACCAAGGAAACATGGGGTTTCTCCTTTGAAGTGGCTGGCAGCCAGAGTAGGAAATGCAGATTATTATTATTATTTTCTTTTTATGACTGCCATGTGTTTGACAGGCATTGTGAGGAGCTGCACTCCCTCCGTCTGCTCTGGGGGGCCATTCAGGACGGAATGACCCCATTCACAATTAAAGAAAAAAAAAAACAACCCTAAATCTCTCCTTTTTTTTCTCCCTCTTATGTTGTTTATAACCAAACAACATTCCTTCCTTCATTCCTTTCCCACCCTACAGGCCTCTAACGCCAGATGACTTGTTTCTTGCAAATACCTTGCCCAGGTTTCCAGAGATGCCGAGTCCGTGCAGCTCTCGGGCTTGGTCTGGTGCTCAGCTCAGTCCAGCCTGAAATCCATCCGTGGTGTCTCCTCACCACTATCATCCACCATCCTATTGCAGCACGTTGCCTTTACACCAGATCAGCGTCCACATGCAAAACAACAACAAAAATCCAGAGGAAGGAGCTTTTGTGGGGAGGAAAAAAGCTGAATTTTGAGACACTTTGACAGATATTGCTGGGTTTTCCTTCCCCACCTTCCTGTGGTGCTCTTGAAATGGGCTGCTCCCCTTGCTGGGCAAAGGACGGGTGTCTGCAGAGCACAGGAGTGCTGAGGAGAGCCCGTGATGCGTGGAGGTTCATGAGGCTGCTGCAGCTCATCTCTTACATCTCTGGGAGGATTATTAACTTTTTTATTATGTTGATTATGTTATGTTTTCTTCTTACTACACTTGTAGCTGCTGCTTATTGCGATTCCTCGTACTGGCTGTGGCTTAGGGCTATGCCAGCCCAGTCCTTGTCTCTGTGGCAAGCTTTGCTTCTAGATGATGCGACCCCCAGCCTAACCCTCCTTCTGTTTCCCTCCTCCTCCTCCCCTTCCTTCCCTCTATTGCTCACAAAACTCCTTGGCCTCCCCCTTGCTTCACAACAAGCAGTTGAAGTCTTTCCCTTGAGCCAGAAAATACTTGCTCCTCTTCTTGGAAACAAGTCAGGAGCAAGGCTTAAGGCTGGCCTAATGTGCATCCCCCTCCTCCCTTGCCTGGTCTCCGTGCGGGACGGAGGTGTTGGAGGACAGGGTGAAAGAATCTGGGAGCTCATGTGGGTCGGCTGCCCCCCGGCAAGGCTCGTTTCTTTTTTTTTTTTAAAGAGCCTTATTACTAGTGCTTAGAAAAACAGAGCCCTCAGACCATCTGATGCTAACAGGGCTGGTTCCCGAGGTGAACTTGTGCGCGAAACAAACCACACTTTCAACACCAGCGAGCGGGGAGAGCGCGGCTCCCCACGCGGGAGCCAGCGGAGAAGGCGGCGAGCAATTACGGCCCAAACTGTTTATTAAAACTTGTGGAAATTACTCATAACTCCATGTGCGCGACAGCTTTGTAGTTGAGTGATGCTCTTTGTTTGCACACGAGGCCCTTGACGAGGGCGAGAGCGCGAGCGTGTGTCTGTGAACGCGCCGGGCGAGCGAGCCAGCGCATTATGTCATAGAAGAAGCAGGCTCCGCGCTCGAGACGGAGAGGGAGAAAAATGTGTTTTACAGGGTGAGGTACAAACTGAAATGGCTGTGAACATCTGGAACTGATATTAGGCTTGGAAAATGTTTTCTGTCACTCCAACACTCCTCTGGAGGAAGGTTTCTAAAGTTAAGAAGCTCCAAAGGGGACGAGGGGGAGGGACGCGGGGAGCACGCGGAGTGCTCCTTATTTCTTCTTGTCGCCGTGCCCTAGGCTGTCCCCTCCGTGCACGTGAGGGCCTCGGGTGTCGCTGGCGCTCGCTGCGGTGGCCGTGGTTGAGAAAGGCCCTTCTGTGCTCGGTGGGGCGGCTGCGTGTGCTGCGCTGGTCGCTCGCTGCCCTGAGGCCACCGGCAGGAAGACGGAAGGATCTTGCCCTGGTTTTAGCACCAGGACCAGGAACCTGACATGAAAGGTTGGTCCTCACACTATGTTCTCATTAAATACGATAGCCCTGGCTCCCAGAGCTGCTTTAAAGCTCCCTTTGCTGAGACCTGACTAAGCTCATGGGTGCAGTCTTAGGTAAAGCCAGGGCTTGACATCGGCCTCAGCCCGAGATCATCATCCTCCTCATCTCCGTTTAATGCATGTCCCATGGGGAAGCCCCCTGGTCTCTGAGAGCAGTTTGTCTTGCCCCAGAATACATTTGGGAGATGAAAGAGGAAGCTCAGCATCCTCCTAGGTAAGGAGGCAGATCTGTGTAGGATTTAACACCAATCGAACTGTCTGTCGGGACGGACCTGGGTGGCTGGTTCTTGCATGGGGCTGCCCTGACAGGACGTTTCACCCCTGCACGTGCCCTTGGACCCTCAACCAAGGGGGGTTCCACGGGGAAGAGGGGTGAGGCGAGTCTGGCTCGTGCCGGGCAGCTCGGCCTGGGAAGGGAAGCAAGGACCGTAGGGAGCACCCGAATGCGAAACCCCTGGTCTGCGGGTGCCATGGGAGCTCCGCGGGCTGCAGAATCATCCCTGCACCCACGGGTGGCCGCAGAGGAGGGGGTGCAGATAGTGCCAGGTCTTGTCAGCGCTCAGGCTCGCTGCACAGTTGCTCTAATCTGGACCTATTTTCACAGTGATGGTAGATCACGGGTGCATGAGTAACACGGGCAAGTGAGGAAGCGAAAGCAGCACTCTCTCCCTTTATTATTTGCGAGCAGTCGCTTACACCTCTGTTAACCGTTGGGTTTTGGAAGGTGATGCAGGGTAGGTGGTGAGAAAGCTCCCCTGCTCTAGGGTTGCTGGGGATTAACGCATGGAAAACGCAAGGGCTGGGGAGGGGGTTATGTTTTATACGTGCTTTCCTGCGCACACGCCGCCCAGCAAGACAGGCCTAGGTGGCCTCTGCGGCCCCAGGCAAGGCAGCCTGAGCTTAGTGCGACGGAGGCCTGGGGAGCGGCGGGGGGCGAGCGCTGCCCGGCGCCCCGCGCCGAGAGGCTCCTCGTGAGCCAGCCCTGCTTCGGAGCGCGCGGGACGCGCGCGGCGCCGCTAATCCCGTCTGCCGCTCACCTCATCGCCGGCGCAGCGGCGGCGGGGGCTGCTGGGGCCTGCAGCTAAAAATAGCGACATTAGGTAAAGGTTTAAAAATAAAAACCTTCAATGTTTGCAGCAGCAGTGGGGGCTGTGCTGGTGCAC